TTCTAAGGGAAAATATTTAACTGGGGTGGCTTACAGTTCAGAGGATTCAGTTCATTATCATCGTTGTGGGAAATGGCAATGTGTAGGCAGAGATGGTGCAGGAGAAGGAGCTGAGAGTTCCACATCTTGATCTGCGGGCAACAGGAAGTGAACTGAGTCCACACTGAGTGTAGCTTTGAGGTATATGAGACCTCAAAGCCCGCCCCTGCAGTGACATACTTCCTCTAACAAGGCCACACCTACTCCAACAAAGCCACACCTCCTAAGAGTGCTGCTCCCTATGAGCTTATAGGGGGTCTATTACATTCAAACTACAACAGCAACTTTTAAAAGAAAGCATTTAATTAGGAGCTTGTTTATGGTCTATAACCATCCTGGTTGGGAGCATGGCAGGCAGGTGTGGCTCTGGAGCAGTAACTGAGAGCTTGTATGTTGAGACAACAACCACAAAGCAGAGAGAGATAACTTTGATGTTTCATGATGTTTGATGATGCAACAATGAAGCCCACCCCCAAGCCCCTCCAACAAGGGCCACACCTTCTAATCCTTCCCAAACAGTTCCACCAACTGGGATCAAGCATTCAACTATGAAAGTCTATGGGGGCCGTGCTCATTCAAAACACCACAGTGTACATGTCTGTGTGTAAGGGTGCCGCATATGGGTACCCAAGGAGGTCAAAAGGGAGTGTCACCACTCCTGGAGCTAGAGTGACAAGTGGCTGTGGGATCTGTGACTTACGCTGAGAACTGAACTCTGTCCTCAAGAGCAGCAGATGCTCCTAACTGCTGAGCCATCTCTCCAGCTCCTCTCTTCTCTCTCTCTAGTTCTTTCTGTTTGCTTGTTTTTCTAGGCAACCGCTCTACCACTGAACTAAATCCCAATTCCACCTTCCTTTTGCTTTTTTGCGTTTCCCGAGTGTTGAGTTCAAGGTCTCGGTCACCGTGTGTGTCACTGTCACTCAGCTAGATACCAGCCTTGATCACAGTCTTCTCATCTTGGTGTTTGGTGACCTCCCTTAACCTCTGCGTCCAGGGCCCTGTTTCCTGGGGCCCAGTTCTTGCCTTGGAGGTTTTATCATGAAATAGGCATACTCAAGGCCTTTGTTAGAAGCTCATGAAGCCGGGCGGCAATGGGGCACGCCTTTAATCCCAGCACTGGAGAGACAGAGCCAGGCAGATCTCTGTGAGTTCGAGGCCAGCCTGGGCTACAGAGTGAGATTCAGAACAGGCACCAATGCTACACAGAGAAACCCTGTCTCGAAAAACCAAAGAAGAAGAAGAGGAGGAGGAAGAAGAGGGCTCATGAAAGGACTGTCCACAGAGGCGTGTGCAGGAACAGGGAAGTACCCAGGGCTCTGCAGTCCCGCAGCAGACACCACCCTGAGCCAGAGGAGTAAGGGGAGGCGGTCTCACCAGGAAACCTGCTGACATCTGAATTCACGGGCGTGACACACACAGGAGCCCTTGGTAGAGGAGCATAACTCCTGCCAAGAAACACCTCACTGAGGGAGGGAGAGACAGACAGACAGACAGACAGACAGACGCTCGATACATAGCCTGATCTCAGGCTCTGGCTATAGCTCAGTGGGGGAGCCCCACCTGGCATGTGCCAGGCCCTGGGTTCAGTCCTCAGAATAGCTGGGGGAGTTCGGGGACCATCCTGGTCACATTTCCCCACTTCTCATTCTGCCGTGTCTACTCAGCTGAAGGCAGAAGGCCAGGGAACTGTGACATTGGGGCAGGAACCAGCCCCTGGACGAGCCGGGCAGTGCAGAGACAGAGTGGCAGTTAGGTTAGAGAATGACCAGGCCCTGGGGTCGGCTTTGTGGATTTTTTTAAAATTAATTATTTTATTTTATGTGTACCGGTGTTTTGTCTCCATGTATGTCTGTGTGAGGGTGTCAGATCTTGGAGTTCCAGACAGTTGGGAGCTGCCACAAGGGTGCTGGGAATTGAACCCGGGTCCTCTGGATGAGCAGCCAGGGCTCTTAACCACTGAGCCATCTCTCCAGCCCCTAATACACTTGTTTTTAAAGCACCCTCTGTATCTGCCTCAGGAAATCCTTCTCTTATCCTTCCAAGGCCCAGATATCTTGTCCATGAGGAACCTGTCCCGCCCCCGGGCCCCTGGGTGTCAGGGCCTAATGCTACATTGCTCAGCTGAGTGGTCGGTATTATCTCCATGCAAGCTTGCGTTCCCGGGCTCTGCCATCTTCTACACAACAAGCTTCTTGCAGACCTAGGCCTGTGAAGCCATTTGCTTCGATACAGATTCAGCACAGACCAAATGTCAATGTGTGCCAAGGAATCTCGCTCTGTAGATGAAGCTGGTGTCAAACTCAGAGAGATCCACCTGGCTCTGCCTCCCGAGTGCTGGGATCAAGGTGTGTGCCACCACCGCCCGGGGCCCACTGGAGCTCTTTAATGGTGGGTAGTATGAGCCTGGCATGCAGCCAATATAATATGTTGCCTGAGTTGGTCTAGATACCATCATACAGCCTTCTTTTCAGTACTTCATTCAACAAACATTTTGTTATTTTTATTATTGTGTGTGTGTGTGTGTGTATGTGTGTGTGTGTGTGTGTGTGTACATGATATGTGTGCACGTGTGGTCAGAGGATAACTGTGTGGAGTTGGTTCTCTTCTTCCACCTTTAGATGGAAAAGTTCTGGGATTAAATTCACTTGCCAGCCTTAATCAGCAAAGTGTTCTTGCCCACTGGAGACCATCCAACAAATTTTTCTATGACATGCAAGGACAGCATTGAATAAGTCATATGGTCCCTGTCCTCATGGGGCTTCCTCTCTAGTGGAGGGAGCAGAAAAGAAAGAATTATAAATGAACACTATTAGCCGGGCAGTGGTGGCGCACGCCTTTAATTCCAGCACTCATGAGGGAGAAGCTGATGGATCTCTGGGAGTTTACTGAAGGCTAGCCTGGTCTACCAAGACAGCCAGGGCTGTGAAGTGAAACCCTGTCTTGAAACACCCTCCCCCGAAACAAACAAACAAAAACCACTCTCGGGTGTTTTTTAAATTTACTTTATTTAATTATGTGTCTGTATGTCTCTGTGGGAGTGAGTTCACATGCTTGAGGAAGCCGGAAGTGTGGGATCCCCCTGAAGCTGTGGTTACAGGCAGCTAGCTTCGCGCTGTCTGGCTGAGTGCTGGGAACTCAACTCCTGCAAGCCCCGAATAAACCCGAATGTTCCCTACAGTGCTCGGTGCAGCAGAAGGATACGCGGGGTGATGGATAAAGTGGGTGTGTGGATACTGGGGGGGGGGAGGGCTGCTTCTCCGAGGAGATGACTGAGGGCTGAGCCCTGAAGGAGCGGGGGAAGCTGGAAAAGGCGTTGTAGACAGAGACAGCAGCAAGGACAAAGGTCCAAGCGTGAAGGAGTTTCTGGGACTTGGTAGGGATTCAGGAGCTGCCAGGAGTTAAGGATGCAGCCTTGGGGACATGCCAGCTCCTGGGGCTGGCGGGTCAATGGCAGTGTGTCGTCCGTGTCCTTCCCCCCCCTCCCCCCATACCGTCCTTGCTGACGGTTGCCTAGCACCTTCAGTAAACAGCAGGCTGGCAGGCAGGCCGTGCCCATGCTCCCTTCCTTCTCTCTGACTGGCAACAGCTGTCCAGCAAGCAGCTGGAGGCCCTGCCAACACCCTCCCCTGGAATATTTCAGGGGTAAGTCAGAAAATGACCAGCAGCCTCCAAAACGCGTTTTCTCCCATATGCCTTACATGGGTATATTGAGCCGCTCTGGGTGTTACGCGCGAGTGTCCTCCTCTTGGCACCCTCCAAAACACAAAAAATACCCAACCTCAGTGCACAGCTGCAGCCACACACCCACCCCTACCCCTCAGCTGCCACACTGGCGCATGTCAGCCCAGTCAGGCTCACACTCACACTCACACACGGGTTCACAGCTAAGCTTCACAGTCGCTGCGGCCAGTGCCCGTTTTCCCTAAGAACACTCACGACTGGCCCAATCGTCCACACTCACCCTTGCTGTCAAGTCGTACAGCTGCACGTCCGCAAGCCCACACAGGACAGGAATGGAGGAGCCCCATGGGATACACAACCCTAGATCTGTCTCCTGCTCCACACACAGAACCTTTACCAGATGTTCCCAGCTGTGGGCACACGGAACCCAAGCCACAAGCCACCCAGTCAACACACTGGCATCGTTTCTCCATCCCCATCCCCATCCGCTGCTGCTGCTGCTGCTGCTCAAGGATCTGATTAAACCGGTGTCCAGCCTCCTCCTGGCCCGGGCCTGCCGGGTGCACAGCATTCTTCTGAAATTGAATCAAAGCCCTCCTCCCTGACACGGGGACCAAGTGGAAAAAAGTAATCAGAGGAAGAATGCCTGGGCCCCAGGTCTGGGAAGGGGCCCAGCAGCTCTTACTGGGAGGAAGGGGAGAGTGCCTTCAGCGCGGAAGTCTGCCCGGGACACGGGTGGGCCGAGGACTTAGGCGTGGGTACATGCCTTGAAACAGGACAGAAGCGGCTGGCTGAGTCGGAGCCACAAGTGCGGCTGCTCTCAGAAGACCCCAGGAAACCTCCCAGGGTGGGTGGGGGAAGAGACCTGAGTTAAACACAGACTCAACGTTACGGCCTTAGGCCTTTTCGCAGTTCTTCCTCAGCCCTTCTCTGGCCCCCAGCTGTCCCCAGACGCATGGGGTGTGGCGGGTAACCCCCCTTCTCCAGCAGGCGCCCTGCCCCACCCCTTCACGACAGCTGCGGGACACCGGGAGGGTGGCCGCTCTCCAAGCCCTCGCGCGGGAGGGGATCGCAGGGCGCCGACACGAGGGGTGCCGGGTCCCTTTGGGCACCCCACCACTAAACCTTCCCCCCGCCCCCCGCGCCTCGATCGGGCCCGGGAACTGCTCCCCTGAGACTGCACAGCCCCCCTCCTCTCCTCGCCAAGCAACCCAGGCCAGAAGGAAAGATGGAGAGAGAAGAAGGTCCGGGAAGGGAAGCGCCGCTGGGCCTCCCCTCATCCCACCCCACCCCCCCATCCCCTCCCACCCTCTCCCCGCCCCCAGGCCCGCAGGGCCGGCGCCCTCCTCCCGCGGGAGATGGTCCGGGCCAAGTGGGCGCGTCCGGCCCGGGTCGCCGGGATCTGGTGTCGGCTGCAGCTGGCAGTGCGGCGGACGCGGGCAGCGGCACAGCCGCCTGCGGAGCCGGCTATTAATAACGCTCCGGGCCAGCCCGGGGTCGGGCAGTCATGGCCAGTCCGGAACCCCTGCGCGGCGGGGACGGCGCCCCGGCTGCCAGGTAGGCTCCTCCAGGGTCCGTGTCGCCACCCAGTAGCAGAGGGGGTGCTAGGTGGGCTCCCATCCCCCCCCCCCCGCCCCGTGGCCTCTTACTCCTCGATGTGGGTCGTGGTCCAGCCCGGGTGTGGCACGGGGCGGAGCCACCCGGGGAAGGGAGATGGGAGGCCCTGGCTTGGGGACCTGACACCTCCGGTGGTCTGTGGTCTTTTGTGACACTACGGGCTGGCCGGGTGAGAATTAATCCTTTCTGGCTATCAACCTGTCAAATTTTTACTTGGCTCAACAGGCCAAAGAGAGCATGAGTTTTATGTTTATTTCCCTTTATTTCTCACTCACTTGTTCTTGGGGTCCGGGAGAAACCATTTGAGAATTCACTGTATTTGAGCCGCTTGGTGCGGCGTTGGGCACCCGCCAGCTCGAAGTCAGAGTCTGTTCGGTCAGCTTGTTCTTCTCCGTGTGGCTCAGGTGGAGGCCTGGAGAGGGACGATTCTCCTAGTCCTGCACTGGGCCATGGCTGGACTCAGCAGCTGCCCACACTGTGGGCCTTACCACTGGTGATTGTGGAGTCTGTCTGCCCCAAGTCACAGTGTGGCCCAGGGACTTCCCAGTTATCAAATTGCGGGAATGCTGCCTGGTACCCTCTGTTGTCACGCGAGAAGATAAAGCTGAGCTAGGTCTTAGGACAAACCTTTTGCCCACACACATCTTAATAAGCTGGAAGTCAGACGCAAGCTCAGTTGTTGGCGTGAGGTCACATACACATCCCGTCACAGTCAGATGGACAGCGTTAAGGAGTTGTGCAAGTCCTCTGGGGACAGGGACAGAGCGGCAGTGGCCCTGAGGTGGGGGGGGGGCAGCTGAGCATTCTCCCTCTCTGCCGGCCTCCTGTAATCTGCTTCTTTAGAAAAGCAGCTAGCTGAGGGCAACATCTGGTACCCAGGGTGGCGAGGCAGCCCAGCCCAGAAGTCAGGAGGCCTGGGCTCTACACCTCAGACCTGCCACTTGACCTTGGGCAAATTTCCCCTTGGAGTTCAGCTGGTTTCCGCTTGCCTCCCAAGGGCTGCACACTAGGGTACAGACAACTAGCCTCGTCCTCGGGATGTCCACTCTCATCCAATGGACACGTGCCCTGTCATAAGGCAAAGCTCCTGAAGATGAGCTACATTCAGAATGTCCTGAGGACGCTGGGTGGTGGTTGGCGCACACCTTTAATCCCAGCACTCAGGAGGCAGAGCCAGGCAGATCTCTGTGAGTTTGAGGCCAGCCTGGTCTACAGAGCGAGTTCCAGGAAAGGTGCAAAGCTACACAGAGAAACCCTGTCCCGAGAAAACAAAACAAACAAAACAAAACCCAGAATGTCCTGAGGACACAGACAGTAGGCCTTGTTTGAGGTATGGCACAGAGTACATGGAGTCGGAGAATGGTTAGACATTTGTTAACCAAACCAATTTTCTTTTCTGGGCTAGAAATGAACCTACTACTTCGCACAAGCTAGGCAAATGCCCCCCCCCCCAGACTTATCCCCCACCTAATACGCCCCACCCCTGACCCTAGAAAGACTTTCTGAGCCAAGTGGTGGTGGTACATGTCTTTAATTCCAGCACTCTGGAGGCAGAGGCAGGTGGATCTCTCTGAGTTTGAGATCAGCCTGGTCTACAGAGCAACTTCCAGGACAGCTAGAGATATACAAGGAAACCCTGCCCCGAAAGAAACCAAAGCCAAAAACAAACAACAAAAAAAGACGTTCTGACTGTGATGCTCCAAACCCTCTTAGGCCTGTGCTGCTTAGCCTTAGGCGGAGGGCCAGGCACTGGGGCTTCTCAGGAACCTCAGGTGCGCTTCCCACTCGCACTGGCTTGCTAGTCTCTGCACTGGGCAGAACAGATGAACAGCCTACATGCAAGTGTTTAGAATAGTACCTTGAACACGGTTGAGTCATTCCAAGGTGGAACATGATGCAAAGGCCATCAGCTGGGAAATCGGGGACTCTGGCAGAGCAGGATAGGTGGGCCTGCCTGCAGGAGCAGGTGTTCCTTCCTGGTGCCAGGAATTTTACCTTCTCCGGTAGCCCTGGCTAGTGTTTTTAGGCAGATTGGTATTCAGGAAGTTGCATTTTTTCAGCTAGATCCTTTAGATACTGTGGGCTCGGAGTAGGAGGTGTGAAAAATTCCCACATGTTCTGGGTTGCGGGGGTGATATGAGCTGAGGCTAAAAACGGTGAGTTAGGGCCACCTCTTTAAGACTCTGAAAGCTGGGCATGGTGTCACATGCCTGAAGTCTCAGCACTTGGGAGGCTGAGGCAGGAGGATTGGTAAGAGTTCCAGGCCTGGGACTGAAGAGAGGGCTCAGCTGTTAAGGGCACTTACTTGTTAAGAGAACCTGGGTTGGGTTCCCAGCACCCACATGGTGGCTCACAGCCATCCATAACTCCAGTTCCAGGGGATCTGATGTCCTCTTTTGTTTGTTTGTTGCTGTTGTTGTTGTTGTTTTTGAGACAAGGTTTTCTCTGTGTGCCCCTGGCTGTCCTGGAATTCACTCTGTAGACCAGACTGGCCTCCAACTCAGGGATCTACCTGGCTCTGCTCCCCAGGGCTGGGATCAAGATGTGCACCACCACTGCCTGACTCTGATGCCTTCATTTAATCTTTGAGGGCACCAGGCTATCTGTGGTGCATATACATACATGCAGGCCAAGCATCCATACATATAAAATAAGTAAATAGTTTTTTTTAAAAAAAGGAAGCTCTAAGCCAGCTTGGACTACACAGTGAGTATCAGGCCACCCCCAGGGCTTTATAGCAAGACCTGCCACAAAGGCTTTGCAACCATGGAGCAACCATGACATAGCCTGCTAACTATGGCTAGACTGAGCTGCAGAGAAGCAAGGAGGCCCATTAGAAGGCGGGTACAGCCAAGTGGTGGCGCACACCTTTAATCCCAGCACTCGGGAGGCAGAGGCAGGCAGATCTCTGTGAGTTCGAGGCCAGCCTGGTCTACAGAGTGAGTTCCAGGACAGCCAGGACTATTATACAGAGAAACCCTGTCATGAAAAACAAACAAAAGTAGGCTGGTACTAAAGAGAGTAAACGGATCATGGCTTGGCCTAGGGCCCTGACAGTGGGCTGAAAAGGGTTGGACGGGATTGGAAACTTCCTATGGTAAAGGTCGTTTTCAGGGAGGTAGTTGCATGGAGCAGGGACTAGCAGTGCAGATTTCTAGGAGAACTATAATTTGAGTGCAGCTAAGATGTGGGCAAGCCTGACAGCCTGAGTTCCACCCCAGAACCCCACACGGAAGGAGAGAA